CATATATATATCTGTATATGTCCACATAAAATGGCCTGGTCTACGGCGTTCAGTAGGAAATATTGAATCAGTGCGACCAGTTTGAGTTGCAGTGTGCTATATACCTACAAACTATCGAGACCTCTAACTTTTACTCTTGAGAACCATATAAATAATAAAATACTGTAAGAATATATTAACCAGTAAATAGAAGCGCGCAATGAGATCGAGAGTTAATTCTACGTACTTAATACCGCACGCGTCTGAAGCGATCGCCTCGTTTGAGGCAAGTTATTGTTTCTTCTGAACCATGACTTGAGATATTATATTTCTCTGCACACAACAATGTTCTCTAACTTCTTTGTTCTCTTCATCTGCATTGATATATAGTGTAGTGGAGTAGAAGAACATTCAAGTACAATGTAGATTAAAAGCACATAAACAAGTATGCTTCTGTTCTAAGTTTACATACAATAAATCTTCAGATTCAACAATCGTAAGGAGAAGGGTATCTATCTGGCCGTCGCCAGAAACTTCATACCATGCTACACCATCACTGTGCACGAGAATCACATCTGTACGAGGCAATAAAGAGAATATAAATCAGTACATTATCCAATACATAAGAACATTCTTATGCATTCTTGTCGGGCTATGTCGGGTATACTATTCCCGGCAGCAGAACTCTGACCCAGAAATTCGCGAGTATCCCCGGTGTATTAAAAGAGTTTGTTGAACATCACCCACCTACCCACCGAGCCCCCTGTGAAGTTATGTATATTTTGGATTTACGATATTTCCAAATTTAATAAACTGTGTACACACCCATCATAGCATGTTCAATTTAGGAGGCTATGCATAGCACCAAGAGACCTGAGAACACATAGCACGTTAAAAAAAGGTGTATTACTAAATATATGTAGTACTAACTGATAAATACAACTATTGTCGATACATAAATACATACGTTCTCAAGGTAAACATATGAGTATATACTATGTTTATAAGCTGTATATAAATAAATATGTATCTAAGGCGGGCACCTTTGTAAACAACTTTCATCTTTCAAAATGGTGAACCCAAACCGTAAGCTGACCAACCTCGTCCGTAAATGCAAGACTGCGACTATGTGCGCAAGGACAATGTACTTGGTCACACAACGGCCACAATTAACACGCGTGCATGGGTGGGAAGGAAACTATAACAGACACGCTCGTGCGCATCAACCGAACATTGAGGGAACACCATATTGTTATCAGCCACTCGGAACATGGGACTTTAGAGGGTATGTGACGGGCAATGGTCCACACACTGCTAAGCCCAGACCAAAGAATAGTGTCGACAGTACACACACAACTTCTGATCATATGGCTACTAAGCACTATAACGTACCGCAGAAGGATATCGTGCGCTCGGATATGGTGAACCGCAAAAGAGCGAAGTATAGCGAGAAGGCACTTACCCTGGCCAAGCATACACGCACCGTCAGAGCCAACACAACTACAGTCGATGGGAACAACCCTGTTCATATCGGTCGCAAACCACATAGAGATGAGAATAGGAAGTCTGGTAATAGGAAAACATATCGAAGATCGACAGTCTCAGTCAAAGAATTGTTGCAGACAGCCAAGGGCACTAAAGATTACGGTGAAGCGGGCCGAGTGGTGGATGTGCTCCTTGATAGTGGTACGTTACAAACGAAAGATGGGCTGAAAGCACTCAACATCTACAAACAAAGCAGACAGCCGCACAAGTGTTTAAGGACATTAGAGTATGTGCGTGCCAAAGGTGGCAGATTAACGGCACTTCATTACAATCCTTGCATTCATGCGTTGAGTGCAAGCAGAAACTATACAAAAGCACACTCATTATTCGAGGCGATGCAGACGCATGGTATTGTTCCTACTGTGATCACTTACACTACTGTGGTGCAGATGTTTCTAAAGGAAGGGAACATGGTAAAGGCTATGGCCTTGTTTCAAGATATGTCGGTCGCGGGGGTTGAACCGAATTTGTGGACATACTCGGTGCTAATGTCTGAGCTCAGTAATTCTGGCCAATGGGAAGCTGCGATGAGATTGTATGAGGAGTTAGAAAGCAAAGGTCTTGAGCACAACACCGTCACGTGCAACGCCGCGTTAAAGGCCTGTGCAGAAGGGTTGCAATGGGGTAGGGCGATATCTATTTTCAATCAAATGGGCACGAAAGGTATCGAACGGGATACCATCACTTACAATAGTACAATCTCAGCATGCGCCAACGGTGGTCAGTGGGGCAAGGCTGTAGAATTGTTTGATGAGATGGAAAGAAAGGAATTGAACGAAATACCATCACCTACAGTAGTACAATTTCAGCGTGCGCGAACGGTGGTCAGTGGATCAAGGCTGTAGAATTGTTTGATGAGATGAAAAAGAAAGAACTCGAACGGAATATCGTCACCTACAATAGTACAATCTCAGCATGCGCGAACGGTGGTCAGTGGGCCAAGGCTGTAGAATTGTTTGATGAGATGAAAATAAAAGGTATTGGCCGGGATGTCTTTACGTATAATACGGCAATAACCGCATGTGAGAGGGGTGGTCAGTGGCAGAAGGCTGTCGCACTTTTCGACGAGATGGCTGACATTAAGGTTGAACGGAATGAGGTCAGCTACAATACCGTTGTCCAAGCACTTGGAGCACATAGCAGAGGATACGCTCGAGTTGATTCATTATATGAGGAGATGATTTTGAAATTCGCAGCATTTAAAAAGGATTGGTCGGTATTCAATAGAACAAACAAACTAGACCTGCACAATCATTCAGTGTATTTGGCACAAGCTGCTATCCGTCGGCTACTCAGGAAGTTGCAAAAGCAAGGTGATTCAAGGAGTGCTCATAACGCGAAGCAGAAGATCGTCATCGTTGTGGGCAAAGGTAACAACAGCGTAGGAGATACGGTGCTTCGGAAAGCAGTACAAGCACAACTGCAGGCTCTGGCACCTCCCATAGCATCTCACACGCTGCCAGACAATCCGGGACGTTTGGGATTAGTTCGAACCCACTTGGACAACTGGGTTGCGCAAAATGCGAAAGTGATACGGTAACCGTTAAATAAAGATATAAGACACCTGACCCTGTAGCACTTTTTTTCGGCACAATGTGTTAGGCTGTGGTGTGTGAGCGGTGCTTGTTCAAGCAGGTCAAACGATGTTGATTCCCCACACCCCCAACTGTCCAGTGGACGGATCGTGGCAGGCAAAGTGCTATTTGGTTTAGTCTGTGTCAATAGCCATAGAGGACTCGCCGGAAAGTAGCAAGAAGTACGAATAAAACGTGCACTATTTCTTTATTGATATATCTGCTGGACAGGAAAGAGACATGGCGAAGTATCATTCGATGCATTGACCAATACATAGCCTACCTATCGTTTTTAGAGGGCCATCTCTAATATACATTTTATTCCCCGTAGAACCCTCAACCCCAACCCCAGGAACTCTGACCCCATAATTCGCGACTGGATGGATATCCGGTGTATTATATCTATAATTATCCACGGTCTTTGGTGTTTAAATAAATAATACGTCCTAGGTAGTATGCGACAAGCTATGGCTGAGCCACATACTTAAGACTGAGCACACACTCCAGCACACTAAATCCACTGTAGCAGCATGTACTATTCGATGCTACAGACGATGAGCTGTCGTACGAAACCTTTATTTGTCGTACAGATTGTCGGATTTGTGCTTCTCATAGAACTCTCGGCCGTCATCCGACACTGGCCATTGCAACGAGCCACAGAAATAGTCGTATTGATCGCAACACGCGCCAAACGACGCGGCGATGTAGAAATTATCTATGCCGCTTTGTCGGTCGCAGGGCTTCAGCGAACGTGGAGGTAACCTGTGTGAGTGTACCAACAGGTGGGCAGTGATGTGGTTGTGAGATGCGAGACTACATAGTAGACCAAGATACGATTATTGTACCAGTATCTGACGATTAGTGGACCTTGACTACTATGCAGACCAAAAGGTACCCGATTTTCATAGTTGTGCTTTGTCTTGCGGTGTGCCTCGCACTGGGGACTATAGAAAACTGAATGTGAAATATCCCGCTCAGAGGCAACAGTAACACCTAGCAGAAACAAACCCAACATAGCAGCACCTCTAAGATAATTATACGAGCAGCCTTACAAGGCCGTTTGCTACGAATTTGTACCTTTTTTGGAGCAAAGGAATGCACCTGAACCAGCGCAGCATGAACCCATATCCGAATTCGCGATAAAATCGGCTCAAAATTCCAGCAATGACGTTGTCCAGCGATTTGTTCTGGTTCCACGGCAGCAGATGATGCTCGAAGGTTTCTTCATACGAGTACTCGTGCTTGAGATAATTGTCCAGTTCCTGTATATGGTTCGGTTCTGTCAGTGTAGTTGGGGTTTGACTACGCTTACGTACTAATATAGCTGTGATACGTGGGTGTCGGTTCTGGTCTGTTCGGTGTCGAAAGTGGTATGTAACGATGGTGCTAAGAGTACAATGCGAGGGCGAATTTTAACGTTCAATCGTATGTATATCTATAAAATATTGCACCACTTTACTGCGTGTGTTTGTACTCGAGATGTAGTAGACTGTCGTATGAAAATGTATCATACATTGAAAGAGACATATAGAAAGTATATATAATGTATCTGAGACGTACAGAGTTTGTCATGTTCATATACAGTGCCGTGCACGTAGCAAATAAATGGGGGCAATCGTTGATGGACGAATTTGTTTTACAGAATTTTCCGGATACCATGCTATTTTTAAAAACCCAGGAAACAAGTTAATCATGCTTGACTCACCTCCTCCATACATATCACAAACCCAGGAAACAAGTCAATCATACCGAACTCACACCCTCCATACATATCACAAACCCAGGAAACAAGTCAATCATGCTTGACTCACCTCCTCCATACATATCACAAACCCAGGAGACAAGTCAATCATACTGAACTCACCCCTCCATACATATCACAAACCCAGGAAACAAGTCAATCATACTGAACTCACCTCCTCCATAGATATCATAAACCCGTCGCGGTTGTTGCCGTAGTATTCCAGCTCAACCTTCTCACCGTCGCTGCACATGTGGTCCAGTAGGAGACACCCTAGTATGTCTATGAACCCCTCTGCACCGTGACAACAATCAAACAGGTGGGCTGACCATGAGATTCATACTTGCTACTTGCTTGCTAACTATAAAGCAGGGATACCAAGTCCACAATAGTCGAGCACCAAAACCCTAATGCCATCACAAGGGGCTGCTCTAAACTCACCCCAAAAGCCCGTCTTATCATCAATTCACAAGCATTGAATGGTGCAACTACAAAGATGTATGTGTGTATCTATCGGCCGGCGTGTGTGTGATTTCAGCACTTACGATTGGTCCAGCCGTAGTTTGAATCCGTGTCATCTAGAGAATACTCGAACACCTTTGTGAACTCGTCCGGAAATATGTAGTTGCGCGTGTGCTCGTACAACATGCAGTGGTTGTACCGGAATGTGTGACCTGCACACCAAAAAAGGGACCGAAATATATGGCTGAGCATACGAAACGAGGACTCAAAGTCACGAGCTAGCGTATAAGTCCATTGTGACAGTGACCCACAGTGGTCCACATTACCACATGGTTCGCTACACAAGTATTGTGGATCCTTATGGTTCGCTACAACAAGCTGTGCCACAGAGTGTATAGTTTGACCTTCACAACCCGAGAGATCCGTGACTACTGAGCCCTGTGAACATGACACGTACAGTACACTACACAACAGAAACAAGTGCGGGCTTGGAACTCAGACACGTACAGTACACTACACAACAAGAAACAAGTGTGGGCTTGGAACTCAGAATTAATCGTGTGCGCTTGGAACTCAGAATTAATCATCCAGATTGCTATACCAGCCCTAATTCTACTACCAGACTGGCGTACGCAAGTCTGTGCTCCGCGGTAATCGCGGAGTGCGTCTGTATACCTGTACTGAACTAGGACAAACCCCCAATCAAGTCCACCTCATTCGAAATCCATAAGGGCGCGCCCATGCCACATGATGTACTATGCTGTCAACCAGCCAAACCAACCGTATATAATACGCGACACACGCACATTCGCATACTATCCAACTACCAACGCCAGCTGCGCTCTACGCTTCACATTTACAACCCAGAAAGGCTTGATCGCACGAAGTATTTCAAGCGACATACTCGGATCGTCCACACACTTCTGGGCGTCTTCGTACATCTGCTGGGGATAGGCCGGCCCCATCGCAATTCCTTTAACACCGTGATTGGCCAGTCCAGCCGCCCTGATATAACTGACTTCGATCGGGTACCTTCCTTTGATATTCTTGACGAGTTTGGGTTCACGATTGACCACCTCGTCGAATGTGTGTACCTACGCAGTTGCAGGTGGTAACATGTTTGAACTCTTGTAAGGGGGTGAGTATATTAGGTGGCTATACATATAGAAAAGTTCAAGTGT